TTGCTGTTGTAGAGAACTTTATATGTTTTTGCGTGATGTAACTGTAAGCTGGTGTAAGCTCACGTAGCTCCGGAAAACTGAGAAAGTCGAGTATGGTCGATAAAATGTTCTCGAGTTTGTTTTCATTAGATTAGCTGTGTATGCGTGTCATAAATTGATTTTTACATATCTAAAGTTGTTTTTTTTTTTTCAACGATTCAATACTGGTCTTGTAGTTTATTTTGTACAGTGATTTTTAATTTGGATTATCTACTAGAACGATAAACATATGAGGTAATTGCTTTAAACTTCAGCTAATTTAAGAATTATAACATGAAATTTTAAAATACGACGGATAATGACATTGTTAAAGTTATAAATTATGTTTAATAAATTATATATGTGAGCTGCTAGAATATAGAGTATTATAGAGTGTAATTATAATATTAAAACATGTTATATTTTTCAAACACTGGGATTTGTTACATTTTTCATTTTAATAAAACATATCTAAAGAATTGAATATTTTAGATACATTGAAACATTAAAACAAAATTAAAATTGTGAATTAAAATTATCAAGATTTTCCAATTTTAACAAAATGTTAGTTTCCATCCGACTAACGATAAGTCATACAGATACTGCAACTGTTATGAATGCTGTACATTTTCTGTACAGTGAAGAAAAAATCTAATATTCCGTGGAAAATGATTCCATTGAAATGTTTAATTGTTATAATAAAAATCAATTTTATTCTTCTAAATGTTTATTTGAGTACTACCAAGCATAATAATATAATCAATCGTTTGATAATATTTATTAAATATTTAGAAAAGTAAAATATTTTCGATTATATTAATATTTGTTATTGATTCAACTTTTGAATTATTTTACATAAAATAGTGTATCAGCCGTGGAGAAAACTTCGAAAAATTATACGTTGACGAGTCATGTATACATATTTCCTCATGAGATAGATCGGCATGATGCCGATTCTGATATTCAGCAAAATTGCGTTTTCAATGACAGCGACACGCGTGTCAAGTTTACATCCGCATATAAAAAGAAGGAGGAAGCAGCGATTCGTGCGATCGATAAATGATTTCATTTCGACACGTGGCTCTCGAAGGTACCTGAACGTTTATCACGAAGCCGTATGCAGACAACTAGATACAGGTAGAGTTTTTACGATAGAAAAAGAGAAGCGTAGCGAAAAAACATGAGAATCTCGTGTCGTTTCCTTTTTTCAGCGATAAATAAGAAGATAAAAGCGAGAAAACGAAACTTTTACATTTCACTATTACGAGATAAGCAATTATATGATATTACTTTTTAATTATTCGAATATCTTAATACCTGTAAATGCTTGTAATTATTACTTTTTTTTATCCATTAGCTCGCACTATCGAACAGTTTTATTTATATATATATATA